CCAAAAAAAAAAAAAAAAAAAAAAAGAATTAAGTAACAGAGTAAACAATGTCACAGCAGATTAAGTAATTAAGTGCCAAATTAATTAATATTCTGTAATTTCTGTAAATCCCCAGACAAGTTGTTATGATGCCTAGAAGTACTTTGAGGGTATTGTGTGGTTCTCTTACACCCTCACAAGCTACTGTTGGGGTTTCTTATATATATCTTGGTAACAATGCTTATGTTTCCGAGAGGTACAACGGTCGGGGATTCTAGTCAGTTGTATTTGTCTTTATTACTGGACAATGTCTGATTGGAGTCATAGAATCTTCAAGGTGGAAGGAACCATAGAAATCATATGGCCCAGCCTTTAACTGAAGGCAGGCTCAGCCTGGACACTGGCATTAAGGTGAATTTGGATGATGGCTTTTTGGTGGTGTCATTTGAAAAAGAAAAAAAAATGGGGAGAAATTCTTGGGAGAGTTGCCTTTTTTCCTCTTTAGGTTGTAACTTACACTATCATGTCATAATCTCATAGACATGGGTTGGCAAGAAGGGATTTCACTGTGAGGACTGTTTATAATTATACCAACGTGTTAATATCACTGAGAAAAGGCAAGTAAAACAAACCAGAAACCCAGACCATATGTACCAAACAACCATGTAAAATAATGCTTAGTATTTGGTAGTAACTAATTAGGGCTTGTATTCTAGTGTTTCTGTTGATTCTGCGGTATCAGGTGATTTGTGTCTGCTTGAATTCCTTTGGTGATGCTAGTTCTGGACCTCAGGAGCTTATTTCATTGCTGGATAGTTCTAGTTCTCAGTCCTTACGCCGAGCCAGGTTTATGATGTAGCTTCTCACATGTATTGACTTTGTCAGGAATAGTGCTGCAAAAGGCTATTCCTTTGTCTTCTGGCCAAACTGCTCCAGTTACTTAAAACCTTCTTACGGCATGACATCTAGGTCTCCTGCTTTTCTTATCCAATTCGTTAGTGTGTACCTCTTACAGTGTGTGGTCGGAAAGAAATGTAGTCAAGGCAGAGAAGAGATGTGGAAGGGGAGATGGGGAAATAAACTCCAGTGCCAGCAAAGACACTATGCAGCTGCTACTGCACACATGGAGGGTTTTTTTTTTTTTTAAGTTCTTAAATCTGAAAGAGTGGTGAAACTAAGGCAAAATAACTTTACTGAGGGTCACAAAGTTGGAATTTAAAGTCTTCCCAATTCTTAAACTGTGTGCTTTTTATTACTACTTGGATCCAAACAGTTGACTACTGCTGCAGCCTGATTTTATTAACTGTTCTGGTAGCTGCATCCACTGCTGGCTCTTGAAACTTGGAATCAACTGAAGTCCCTAGACATAAATGTAATCAGCTGGCCCAGACACGTCACCTGGAAGAAGGCAGTTTAATGTAGTGTTTTAAAATTTAAATTTAATTCTGACATGTCCTTGTTTCAAATCTTTCAGTGGTTTCTTACTGCTTTAAGATAACTTGACTTAAAAGGCCCTGCAGAATCTGTTCCCTGGCTTTCCAGCCTGTCCTCCCCTCTGTCCTCTCCATTCTTGGTCATTGCTGTATTGTGCTCTTGGTCAAAAGGTGCCAACAGGCCATGCTACACTGTCTTGGGCCAGTGACTCTGAGTTTTACTCTTTCATTTTGGGTTCTCGGGAACAGTTTTTACTATCATGGATGTCAGAAAGTAATAGTGGTGTGAGGTGTTGCACAAGTGTTGAGGAAGAGCATCCTGCTGGGCACTTAAATGCAGGTGTCAGGGAGCTGAACTCCTTGGAGCAACGGGTTTGCGATCTCCAGGGGCAGGTATTTTATCAAGCCTTAAAACTGTATCAGTATGTGCACCTCTGACTTCAAACTGACCCCAAAGAATATTGAAGGTATAGACAGCTTTGTCTTGTGTTGAGAATTGTGAAAGTTCCCACTGGGGATGGGACAGTAAGCAACTGTATTCAAACAGTGAGACTTTCAAATGAATAAGCAATTACCAACTGTGGATACTTTTTTTTTTTGTGGATATTTTTATGGATACTTTGAAGCATGATTATACTAGTGGTTACAATGAAATTATTGACTTGTTGGGTTGTTGGGTTTTTCTAAGTGTTAATCTGTTCATTTATGCAGTCAAAAAGTACCTATTGGCGCAAGTGGTTTAACTCAAATTTGTGTTATGTGGTGCTCAGACAGCTTCAAAGCTTGCAGAAAGTTGCCCTGTAGTTGAGCAAAAGTTCAGACCTAGTTAGATTAAGTTAAACCTGATAATAGTTGAAATTAGGTTAATTATAGTTAGAATTTGACTTCCTACTACTATATTCTTATGTTTTGTTACGGACTGAAACCCTAGGGTAGTTCAGGATCTTCTTGATAATTATAGCTGTTCCACCAAGATGTTACATTTTTTCTTTCTATGTCACATAGAAGGTATACATGCCAGTAGTTTTTAAAAATTAATTAATTTATTTTTGGCTGCATTTGGTCCTCATTGCTGCTCGCGGGCTCTCAGGCCACTCCCTGTTGCGATGAGCTGGCCTCTCATTGCAGTGGCTTCTCTTGTTGTTGAGCACGGGCACCAGGAGCGTGGGCTTCAGTAGTTGTGGCACGCAGGCTCAGTAGTTGTGGCTCTCAGGGCTCCAGAGCGCAGGCTCAGCAGTGGTGGCGCACAGGCCTAGTTGCTCTGTGGCATGTGGGATCCTCCGGGACCAGGGCTCGAACTCGTGTCCCCCACACTGGCAGGCGGATTCCCAACCACTGCGCCACCAGGGAAGCCCCATGCCAGTAATTTGAATAGAACCTTTCACCTTTCAATTTGGGGCAGCCTTCTTCAAGGCTCCTTTAGGTAAATATGAGTCTCTTTTCTATATATCCTTCAATCCAGTGGACAAGTGGAGTGCACTTAATGCTATTCTACCTTCCTTCTCTAGATAATTGACACACCCAGGAGGTAGGCACTTTTTCCTTACTCTGGATCAGCTGTGCATAGATGCATAATTTGGGGCAGTTAATGGTCTGCCAACATGAAATTTTCATAACTCTACTCAAGAGAAAGAGACCAAAGTCAGTGATGGGAGGGAGGATGCAAGGGGTGGTGGTAGTTCTACCCACTTTACAAGATCAGGATTATCTACAAAAAATAAAGCCCCCCCTTATCACTTCCCTGATCCACCTAGTTACTTACAGATTGCTGCTTCCCGCCCCCCGCCCCATTTCCAGTTTAGTTGGTCTGAGGTGAGGTCTCAGAAGTTGCACTTGTAGCAAATTCCCAGGTCCTCTTAGAAACTGAGTCATTCTCTGGTACTTGGTTTTTGGAAACTGCTAGTTAGGTACACATGTTCCCCTTCAGAACAAGAGTCTGCTAAATGAAGGACAGAAAGTGATTTCCCTTTGCCTCTACCTTTGCAACAAATTTTACTTGTATTTTCACATGTGGCTTTTAAAGAATTAAAATGGTTTCTCAAAGAATTGAAACATATACAGTAGTCTGACCCGTTCAGGTTTACGTTGTTTCTTGCTTATCTTTGATTTTTTTGCAGATAGAGCTGCCATTATGGCTGAAGTTAGTGGAAAACAAGAAGCGACCTCTGTAGGACTGTAAAATGAGAGCAGTAGTCAGACTTAACCCGTAGAGACAAGATTAATGATGACCTCAAAGTTTAAATTGGTGTCTGTATCTATAGGCAACCTTCATGTAGTACCATCATGGATAATTTTATGGTCATAACAGTCTAGTTCTACTTTCTTCGTGTTCATTTCTCGTGTTTGTGTAGATAGACCATAAGAGTAGAATATAGTACTAGTATATAGTGCTCCTGTGTTATTAGAATATATTGGTCATGAATTCTTTGAGTACTGACTTATAAACCAACTTGTGGTTCTTTGTCTCACAGGTATTTCATGCATGGGGTTTGTAAGGAAGGAGATAACTGTCGATACTCACATGACCTCTCTGACAGTCCGTATGGTGTAGTGTGCAAGTATTTTCAGCGAGGGTACTGTATTTACGGAGACCGCTGCAGATATGAACACAGCAAGCCATTGAAACAGGAAGAAGCAATAGTCCGTATGGTGTAGTGTGCAAGTATTTTCAGCGAGGGTACTGTATTTACGGAGACCGCTGCAGGTAAGAATTTGTTTCCAATTCAGTTTTGTTCAGGGGTGGATGGAGAGGTTGGCAGAAAAAAATGAGAGGAAAATACATAATTCCAACAACTTTGTAAATAATAGATTTAAAGTAGTCCTTTTTTTTTTTTTTTTTTTTTTTTTTTTTTGCCATGCCTCGCAGCTTGCAGGATCTTAGTTCCCCGACCAGGGATTGAATCCGAGTCATGGCAGTGAAAGCACCAGGTCCTAACCACTGGATCGCCAGGGAATTCCCTAAAATCGTACTTTAAAAAGTGCTCATTAGAAATGTTAGCACACTGACAGATCTCTCTCTTGGAGGGAATGTATTACATTTTAAAAATGAGTTTATAATACAGTCCTAAGTTTAAATAGTGCCTGAGGAGCAGCTTCCAGCAAACCTAGGAATAGGGTGTGGTGAAGGAATGTTTGTTAATGGCATTTCCTCTTAAAGACCAAGAATAAGGTTCATATTTGACCAGTTGGGACTAGTTTCAGTTCTCTATTAGTATGAATTATGGAGAGAAAATGGGATCATAGGCATTTGGAACAGTGTATTAGGTTACTAGTTAAGAGGGCTTATCATTCCAACTAAACTTTCATAAACCACTTGAGCTCTCAAAACTAAATTTTAAGCCAAGATTTACAGAAGATGCTTCAGAACAGTCTCTAGTATCTATCTCAGAATGGTGGAAAACCAAGAGGGATTAGTTATTAAGTAATCTCTATAATCATTCATTGAATTGGTACCATAATCCTGTTAAATTGCAATTCAGCAGTAGTGGGTTCTGTGGGTTCTGCTAGCAATTGGGTAGAGCTTTTCTTCTCTTTTTCTTTTTGGCTGTACTGCGCGGCACGTGGGATCTTAGTTCCCTGACCAGGAAACAAACCCGCACCCCCTGCAGTGGAAGTGCCGAGACCTAACCACTGAACCACCAGGGAAGTCCCAGTTAGAGCTTTTCTTTGTCTTCTCAGTTTAGAAAATATCTAAGTGTATTAGTTATCTATTGATGTTAAACAAGTTACCCTGAAATTCAACAGCTTGAAAACAGTAAACATTTATTATCTCATAGTTTCTGGAGTCTGGAATCTTGGAGTGGCTTAGCTGGGTGGGTGGTTCTAGCTTGGAGACTCTCAAGAGATTGTGGCCAAGATTTCAGCCAGGGCTGCCATCATCTGAAGTCTCAGTGGGGGCCGGAAGACTACTTGGAAGGTGGCTCACTCACACATCTGTTGGTGGGAGGCCTTAGTTCCTCGCCTCGTGGACATTTCCCTGGGACTGCTTTAGTGTCCTCACACTTACTCCCCAGAGTAAGTGATGCAAGAGAGACAGCAAGGACGAACCCACAATACCTTTTTATGATCTAGTCTCAAAAGTCACACACTGTCACTTCCACTATATTCTGTTTATTACAAGCGAGTCACTAAGTCCAGCCCACTTTCAAGGGGAAAGAAATTGGCCTCCACCTGTTGAAGAGGGGGGACTGTCAAAGAATTTTGGGCATATTTTATTTTATATTTTTTAAGGTTTTTTAAAAAATTTATTAAAAAAAATTTTTTTTGGCTGTGTTGGGTCTTCGTTCCTATGCAGGCTTTCTCTAGTTGCAGTGAGCGGGGGCTACTCTTTGTTGCGGTGCACTGGCTTCTCATTGTGGTGGCTTCTCTTGTTGTGGAGCACAGGCTCTAGGCACGTGGGCTTCAGTAGTTGTGGCATGATGGCTCAGTAGTTGTGGCTCGTGGGCTCTAGAGCACAGGCTCAATAGTTGTGGCACACGGGCTTAGTTGTTCCGCGGCATGAGGGATCTTCCTGGACCAGGGCTCTAACCCGTGTCCCCTGCATTGGCAGGCGTATTCTTAACCACTGCACCACCAGGGAAGTCCCAGGCATATTTTAAATGATCACACTAGGTAAGATATTTTGACAGTGTCATAGCCAATTTTAGCATCCTATTATCAGAAAAGAATTGTGTCAACTATTGGGTTCAAATGCTTAGAGTTCAAAAGACTAAGGATTATTGACGGGTGGGGATATTGATGTTAGGCTATCTCACATCTATTTTACTTAGGAAATCTAGTAAGGGTAGAGAAGGACAAGATTCTTTCCATGTGACTGTAGGAAGGATCCCAGAAATGGAACCCCTGGTATCTGAGTTCAGTGGTCATTTTGCTCTCTGCTGATTTTTTTCATTGCAATATTGCTAGAAAGAAAAAACTGATATGACACTCCTCAAAAAAAAAAAAAAACCCCAAAGCTAAAAAACCCAGATATGTCTTTTGTAGTCAATCACAATATTAAAAAGGGCAATAGGTGTTAGAAATCCATCCTACTGTGAATGAGCGATTCTTTGTAGTAGGATGGTCTCTGCAAGATTTTTTTTTTTAAAAAAACTTTATTGGAGTATAATTGCTTCACAATACTGTGTTAGTTTCTGTTGCACAACAAAGAGAATCAGCCACATGTATACACATGTCCCCATATCCCCTCCCTCTTAGCCTCCCTCCCATCCTCCCTATCCCACCCCTCTAGGTTATCGCAAAGAACCAAGCAGATCTCCCTGTGCTATGCTGCTGCTTCCCACCAGCCAACTATTTTACATTTGGTAGTGTATATATGTCCATGCTACTCTCACTTTGCCCCAACTTTGCCCTCCCACCCCATCCATGTCCTCAAGTCCATTTTCTATGTCTACCTCTTTGTTTCTGTCCTGCAACTAGGTTCATTAGTACCTTTTTTTTTTTTAGATTCCATATGTATGCATTAGCATACGGTATTTGTTTTTCTCTTTCTGACTTACTTCACTCTGTATGACAGACTCTAGGTCCATCCACCTCACTACAAATAACTCAATTTTGTTTCTTTTTACGGCTGAGTAATATTCCATTGTATATATGTGCCACATCTTCTTTATCCATCTCTTAGTGGACAGTTAGGTTGGTTCCATGTCCTGGCTATTGTAAATAGTGCTGCAATGAACATTGTGGTGCATGTCTCTTTGAATTTTGGTTTTCTCCAGGTATATGCCCCGTATTGGAATTGCTGGGTCATATGGTAGTTCCAGTTTTAGTTTTTTAAGGAACCTCCCTACTGTTCTCCTTAGTGGTTGTATCAATTTACATTCCCACCAGTAGTGCAGGAGGGTTCCCTTTTCACCACACCCTTTCCAGCATTTGTTTCTAGAGTTTTTTTTTTTTTCTACAGTTTTTGATAATGGCCATTCTGACCATTGTGAGGTGATACCTCATTGTAGTTTTGATTTGCATTTCTCTAATAATTAGTGATGTTGAGCATCTTTTCTTGTGCCTCTTGGCCATCTGTATGTCTTCCTTGGTGAAATGTCTATTTAGGTCTTCCACCATTTTTTAACTGGATTGTTTGTTTTTTGATATTGAGCTGTTTGTGTATTTTGGAGATTAATCCATTGTTGTTCATTTGCAAGTATTTTCTCCCATTCTGAGGGTTGTCTTTTTGTCTTGCTTATGGTTTCCTTTGCTGTGCAAAGCTTTTGAGTTTAATTAAGACCCATTTGTTTATTTTCGGTTTTATTTCCGGTACTCTAGTAGGTGGGTCAAAAAAGATCTTGCTGTGGTTTATGTCAAAGAGTGTTTTTCCTGTGTTTTCCTCTAAGAGTTTTAGAGTGTCTGGTCTTACATTAAGTCTTTAATCCATTTGTAGTTTATTTTTGTGTATGGTGTTAAGTACTGTTCTAATTTCATTCTTTCACATGTAGCTGTCCAGTTTTCCAAGCACCACTTATTGAAGAGGCCGTCTTTTCTCCATTGTATGTTGTTGCCTCCTTTGTTGTAAATTAGGTGCCCATGTGTGCGTGGGTTTATCTCTGGGCATTCTATCTTGTACCATTGATCTATATTTCTGTTTTTGTGCCAGTACCATACTGTCTTGATTACTGTAGCTTTGTGGTATAGTTTGAAGTTGGGGAGCCTTATTCCTCCAGCTCCATTTTTTCTTTCTCAAGATTGCTTTGGCTATTTGGGGTCCTTTGTGTTTCCATATGAACTGTAAAATTTTTTGTTCTAATTCTGTGAAGAATGCCATTGGTAGTTTGATAGGGATTGCGTTGAATCTGTAGATTGCTTTGGCTAGTATAGTCATTTTCACAATATTGACTCTTCCAATCCAAGAACATGATATATTTCTCCATCTCTTTCTGTCATCTTTGATTTCTTTTATCAGTATTTTATAGTTTTCTGAGTACAGGTCTTTCGCCTCTTTAGGCAGGTTTATTCCTAGGTATTTTATTCTTTTTGTTGCAGTGGTAAATGGGAGGGTTTCCTTAATTTCTTTCTGATTTTTCGTTGTTGGTGTATAGGAATGCCAGAGATTTCTGTGCATTAATTTTGTATCCTGCAGCCTTACCAAATTCATTGATTAGTTCTAGTAGTTTTCTGGTGGCATCTTTAGGATTCTCTATGTATAGTATCATGTCATCAGCAGACAGTGACAGTTTTATTTCTTCTTTTCCAATTTGTATTCCTTTTATTTCTTTTTCTTTGATTGCTATGGCTAGGACTTCCAAGACTATGTTGAATAAGAATGGCGAGAGTGGACATCCTTGTCTTGTTCCTGATCTTAGTGGAAATACTTTCAGTTTTTCACCATTGAGTATGATGCTTGCTGTGGGTTTGTCATATGTGTCTTTTGTTATGTTGAGGTAGGTTCCCTCTGCCCATTTTCTGGAGAGTTTTTATCATAAATGGGTGTTGAATTTTGTCAAAAGCTTTTTCTGCATCTATTGAGATGATTAAATGGTTTTTATTCCTTAATTTGTTAATGTGGTGTATCACATTGATTGCTTTGCGTATATTGAAGAATCCTCGCATCCCTGGGATAAATCCCACTTGATCATGGTGCATGATCCTTTTAATGTGTTGTTGGATTCTGTTTTCTAGTATTTTCTTCAGGATTTTTGCATCTGTTCATCA